GTTCTGCAAAGAAGAGTGGGCAAATATTGCAAAGTCTAGATGTGCAAAGTTAGTAGAGACAAATCCCAACAGACTAAAGGCTGTAATTAAAGCAAAAGGTGCTTCAACAAAATATTGACACAAGGGAGTGATCCTTTATCCAACTCAGTGATTCTGTTTTTTATTTTTTTCCTGACATGTTGGTGTTATATCTTTCACTTGGATGTTATAAGTTGCACTGAATAAATACAGCTGGATAAAACAAAAACTGTGTCCCTCTTTATTTCAGGCTACAAAGCAACAAAATGTGATTATTTTAAAAGAGGGTGATTCTTTTCTATACCCACTGCATACGTCGAATCAGTTCTGTTGTGTTGCTGGTTAACCGATTTGCATTTTGCGTTTTACATAAGCCGGTTTTTGATAGTAGTCTGTGATTTGTTGCACATGTAAACACACTCACACCAACTACACATATAGGTTGTCTGATTTTATACTGCGTTTAATGTAAATCACCTGAACCCGGGCCCTGACGATATCCATGGGGTTGGTGACAGTGGAGGCAGTGGCAGCTGCCAGAGGTCCAGCCATTGCCTGCAGCACTAGATGTGGGCAGTTACTGGGAGCCATCTTAGACAACTGTTCTGTGAAGCCAATAAGAGCAAATTAAATTTCAGCTTCTTCAGAATCAACTGATATTATATCAGTCTCTAATGAGATGGATATATTGCCAACCAAGATGACTTCTGTCCATGTGACTCTGAACAGTATCAGAAAACATCAACATTCAAAGTACATAAAACTGCCATTGCCAAATACATACACAATCTGCGACTACTTTGATCAAATTAATTGAAATGTTAAAGTACCTTTCAAAAGTTTGCTTGGTTTTTGAATAAGCTCTCTTATGCTCACCAAGGCTGCATTTGTTTGATCAAAAATATAGCCAAAACAGTAATATTGTGAAATATTATTATAATTGATGATCCTTCAGAAATCATTCTAATATGCTGTTATCTTCATAATATGTTCATTTATCAAAAATAAAGGTGATGCTGATGGGCAGTACAACATCTCTTACCTGCATAGAAGTGGTAAAACGGCCACCAAACAGCACTGTTGGGGATGTATGTGAGGAGAGACGCCACATATCCTCGATTGAAGCCACGAATGCCATCCACAGCAAATATCTGCCCAATAATGTCTCTCGTCTGGCCGAAAAATACAGAGTGCATTGCTCCCACTGTGGGTTTCACTTTAAAGCGGGTCAGATGCTCCCCTTGGCCCTGCATCATAAGCTGCTGCGATATGACATCTATGGGAACAGTAATGCTCTGGGCCACCAGTGACGCCGAGCCTCCCGCAACTAATGACTTCAGCGTATTGTCTTTAGAATAGTTGGAGACATATTTCCTTACCAGTTCGTAAGTGGTTATGTACGCCTGCCCTGATATGAGCGTGAACGTGGTCACCATGAAGCCCCTGTAAAGTCCTCTCAGACCCTCAGCTCTCAGAATCTTACGGAAGGCATCGTAGGTCCCAGTGTAGAGAGACTTCCCCTTCTGAACCTGCAGCCTGGTGCGGATCAGCGTGGCCGGGTAGACCGTTGTGCGGATGGCCATGGTCATGAAGACTCCAAATGAGTAGAACTTGCGTTTGTCCAAGTCCTCCCATTCTATGATCTGAATGTTGCGCTTCTGCTGCATGTTTCCTGCCTGTAGTGCCCGGCATTAGTCCCAGACCACCTGGAAACATATTAATGGGACAGTTGAACCAAAATGACCATTCTATCATCATTTACTCACCCTCATGTTGAAAGTGAACCTGTTGAACTTTCTCGCTTGCGTGGAACACAAAAGTAGATGTTAGGCAGCATCTTCTGTGTTCCACTAAAATAAAGTAAGTCATACAGGTTTGGACCAACATGAAGTTGAGTAAATGATGATTTAATTTTCTTTTTTTTTTAGTGAATTATCCCTTTAATTAACTTAATAATAACTAAACTGAGCATGTTTAATATGTGATGAGGAATGTGCTACTACAAATGTAAGGAATTTTAAAATCTACAGTCTATACCCAAGATGTATACATGGGGGTGGGGGGTTAACATGAATTGCGTTATATTTTTATCAAATGTGTAGATCTTAAAACAATTTAGTTATGCATATAAAATGATCATTCAGCCCAGTGACATTGTATGACTTTCTTTCTTCGGCTGAACTCAAAAGAAAATATTTTGAAGAATATCTGTAACGTTAACCAAACAGTTTATGGACAAAAACCACTATGCCATTTCTCAAAATATCGTCTTTTATGTTCCAAAGAAAAAAGAAAGTGGATTGACATGAAGGTGAGTAAATGCTGACAGAATTTTAATTTTGGGGGTTCATTTTTGTCCCTTGTTTCTGATACAAGCTGTAGTAGTTTGCACTATTAGTTCCTGGAACTTAGGTTCGTTATAAAGTCACATTGCTAGTGTCGTTTATTAGCTTTCAGTCTACATGCCTGAGCTAACTGCCGCCAGATCTCTGTAACTTACACTGGTGTTAACACTATCTCTGTAACATAACACTGCCGTCTCTCATCGTGTTCAGATAAGCACTGTCCGGGTCGACGATTCAGAGAGTGCAGCTTATTTTTAGATGCAGTGTCAGCCTGCCAGGAGCCTGCTCGCTGTAATAGCATTGTATGTAAGTTAGTGGCTAACGTTAGTTAGCACAGCTCTCATGCGGCTGAATGGACAGCCGGGCTCCGCTTTATCATCTATGATCTAAGCTCGGTTACTTTTGAGCAACAGCAGGAAACGTCTTACCGTGCAGCAGAAATGATTCAGTGATTTGACATATTTAAGTTGACATTGGTGTTTGTTCAGCACAGGACAGTCACACTAGCTACAGCCGCTCGCGCACCGGGTACTGAACATGGGAGGGATCGTTGGCAATGGTGATGACGCAGTCTGCGTCACTCAACTGAACCGACCAATCACAGCTCTCTGAGCCGACTTTCAATTAAAGGTTAAAGTTCATAGACAGGGGTGTTAGAAATACTCAGAGCCGGAAATACTGTAGGTGTCACATGTTACTGATTTATTTAATTTTTATAAAAGCGTATATGTGTGCGCGCGCGCGTATGTATGTATTTTTGATCAAAGTATTGACATTCAGTTTGCTTTCTTTTACTTTATTTCTTCATGGTTTTGTGACAATTTTTGGAGATTCAAAAGACTGACATGATTTTGTGAGAAGTTTCAAATAATTAAAATAAATAAATAAGTACAAAGATGGAAAACTTATGCTCCTCTGTCAAAATACTAAGATTTCAATTGTTTCTTCTTTTTGTTGTTTTTTTTAGTAAGTGTGCCTTACGAAAGTTGGTATATTCCGTCTTGCATTGTTAATGTGCAAAATGTGTAATAAAATAAAATAAAGTATAGTCTACCACTTCCTTTGAAATAAATTCTTCGGACGCATACCTTTCCATAATGTGGTCAGCAAATATGAATCAATGTTCCTGTTGTTAAATCACCAAAACACTGCAGATATTGTTGCTAGAGTGGAAATTCATTAACAATTCATAGCTCTTGGTGAGGAGTAAATTGTGCTTAATTAAATTTACAGTATGCTCAATTATTAAACTTGGCTTTGTATTTTTTATTATTTTATTATGTATTTTTATTATTTGTAGTTGTACTGAGATCATGTCAATTACTGATTCATAAAGTGCAATACAAGTTCACATTACAGCAAGTGAGTGTTGCTATAATTCAGATTACATATATTTTTGCCATAAAAAGTGTTGGATAAAACTCATCCACCGAGAACAAAACAATCATTGTAACTTGCGATATCTATATCTATATCTAAACAGAGTGATGTTAACCTTACTGATAATTAAAAGAAACACACCAATATATATATTTGTGTTTCTTTTAATTATCAGTAAGGTTAACATCACTCGGTTTTTTTTCAGTTACTAAGTTGTCTGTACCCTGAATGCCCCTCTACAATGTTAGTTTTGAACAATAACTACCGTTTACTGATTTTGCATTTAGTGGACCTAGCAACAGTCTATAGAACTCTTTGTATTTTGAAGGCCTTGTAGTCATTCTTCTGATGTGTGAGTTTGTTGTATAGTGTAGACCATAAGACGCAAATCTCCTGCAATGGATGCTATTAGATGATTACAAGCTCAAAGCCAAGGTAGCAGAATGTTCTGGTGAGGAGCACTGTGGAAGAGAAAAGAAAAAGTCACAACTTTTTAAAAATGCATCAGATTTTATAGGCTAGAACATTTCTGTCAACACCTCTGGTGAAACGTGAGTAATGATAATGCATTAAAGGGGTCCTATTATACTTTTTCACTTTTTCAACTTTAGTTAGTCTGTAATGTTGCTGTTTGTAGTTGTTGGACTACAACGCATATTTTCCGGGATTTGTGATATCACAAATTCTGATGAATGGGACGAGACCTGGTTGAGCTGCACTAGAGAAGGTAACGAGTGTTATCACTATGTC